CCCAGTGGTGCCTGACGTGGCCGTGCATCTTTAAACGCAACCTTCCAAGCGTCTGGCAGCGCATCGCCTGGCCCCGATGCTTTGCCAGTCTTCGTCCTATTCAGAACGCAAAGCAACTCGCTCGTAGGAAATAACTGCGGGGGCCACCTCTGAGAACGTGACTTCCCACGGGACTTTTACGCAGTAGTCGGCCCAAGCATCAGGGCGACGCTCGGCATCGGTAAGATCGTTGCGAGCGTCTCTGACTCCAACGCGTTTGGTTCGAGCATTCTTCCTCCGTTGCTCGGCCGCGCCCCGGCAACCTCCAGCGAGCGAATCGTCTGCCCACCTTGCGCGGCCCGTCCGGGCAGCCTTCCGGATAGCTGTTAAGCGAGCTCTCGCTGCCAACGTCGCCCATTCGCCTGCGCGCGTTCCTCTGTTCGATTAAATCCAAAGGCACCTGGGACGTCCACGGCCGCCAGGCAGGTCGCGGCTTGCGTCGCAGAGTATCTGTCGCAGCGTCAACAGAAGAAATGATTTCCACCGCGGCTACGTCAAGAGAGCAACAAGCAGCGCGAGCGCCCCCCCCAGCTGCTGCGAGGACGACTCGTGAAATCTGCCAGGCCGACCCCAACGCCGGAGCTTTGTCCACGCGGGTCTGCGCGTGAACGTGTTTTCTCGAATGCCACCCGAAGTTGCACCGCCATCAAGCAGCGGCGGCCGCTCAAAGCCTCGGCCCGGCGCGCGCTGCAGAGGTTCGCGCAAGGAAGTAGAAAGGCATGACAAAGCGCGCGGTCGATCCGAGCGAATTCTGTCGGCGAGACGTCGCTGCCCACGGGGGCCGCGCCGGGGCGCGCGCGCGCGACCGGCTGTTTAAAAAGGATATCTGAACAGCGGATTTGCAAGGGTCATGTCTGTAGCGACGCAGTGTACAAGTAGAAATTTCCAGTTTGACATCGGTTCCCGACGCGCCAGACTCAGAAAAACATCAGCCCAAACAACATGCGCGCAGATGTATTCTGCTTCGCGTTGGTCGCCAGGTACAGACGTAGTGCTATGTCGCGTAGTAGGCCGCGGTGCGCCCAATACACATGCGAAGAACATTCGGCGGACTTCGCGCTCGTGCCCGCTCTGCGGCGCGTAAATGGACGCGCGTCAATGAACCGCGTAATGCTGCAATTCGCAACGATGCCAGACGCGGCGCAATCGCCTGGAACGCTACTATGGCAGAGCGAGCCCATGAAGCTACGATAAAGCCTGCCCGAACCACCTGTCAATGGGCAAAATCCGATTCTCCAAAAACGCAACCCATGGAACCGTAATCATCGTAGCATTCGGAACCGCGTGACTGAGTCTCCTGCACGGCCGCGACATGAAGGCGCCGAGCAACCGTTGAAACGATAATCTCTGACACCTTGACACATGAATCTCCGCGGAAGCCTTCAACTTTCCATGTGCCAAGATTCTGCGCGCCGAGTTGTTCGCGTTCTCGTTGCGGCCGAATCCAAGCGCGCAGCGACCTGCAAGACTGCGCCAACGCAGCCTGGCGCGTCGGGGGGGCCCGGGAAGGCCGAGAAGAAGAACGTGTACGCGGAGCCGGAACAATAAAAGAAGGTGGCGAAGATTGTGAATATGGAGCGCGTTGTTGGCGCTGCGGTCTTGTATATTTGCCCATGCCCGCTGCAGAACGCGCGTGCGATTCCGCGGATATGGGCGCATCGGCATACTTGTCCCGGATGCGCCCAGTGCTAAGAATAGCGCGCGGAAGAACATTATGTCCAACAAAATCGGCTCTGATGTCAAGTGTCAAGTGGGGCCACACCTGGCGCATGCCTCATTTCCGATTTCTTTCTCCGGACCTGCACCCCATGCCGCCCGTGGCCCGGATCGCCAAAAATCTGCGCATATCTTCCAGCGCCTTCAGAACGTCGCTCCTAACAAGGGCAACTGCTGTGTCGCGCTCCGTCGTGCCCGGGAACTCCGCAAATAGCATGTTGGTAGCGTCCCCCTCCAAGTAGAATGTTATGGGGGGAGGGGTCCGCCACGTTGCGATAATTGGTCCCGCATCCATTCGGAAGCCGCGTTGGTCATCGTAAATCCTTCCAAATTCCCGAAAACAGCCGTGCTAGAGCGCTTGTCATTCGAATTGTTGGGCAAGCAAGCGCTTCCTCAACGTTTGGGTCGTTGGATTTCCCGTTCCAGTTCTTGTAGTTTCCTCTGGGCGTTCGTGTCAATGTTCGCGTCGGACCCCGTTGTCGCCGATGGACCCGGAGGAGGCGCGCGCGAAGTATCCCGGGACTCCAAGATCTCCAGCCGTGTCGCAATGTCGACGATGGCGCTGGAAATAAGGGCAAACTTAGCGCATCGAAACCTCCATGCAAAACTCAGTGAAGTTTCATTGCGTTGATGCGTTGGCGGATCGGGTCGAGCTGCTCATTGAAAATCTCTTTGAAGGCGCTCACCGTCAAAGGCTCCCCAGCCATCTTGTTATTCTGGCTACTGCTGTCCCCGGCATCGGCAAGTTGCGCTTAATATCGTCGTAGCGCACTGGCGTACGAAGCGTCATCGGGTCCATCCATTTCACGCAATGGACTGTGAATCCTGTGCTGCTTGAACAACAGCCGGAGAGGTGTGCCTGGCGCGCGAGCGTCAGCACCAGCCCGTAGAGAAAAAAACATCGACATGGTACCGAAGTGTCGGGAATATTGAATGGTACGATACTTACCCTACTAGAAAGCGCCCCACGGGGCCTTGAGCCACTTGAGCCAAGAGGCGACTTGAGCCAAGATGGCCCGAGGACAGCCTCAAAGCGCCCAAAAGCCCCCCAAAAAGGCCGTAATAAGCGACATGGGAAGGGCTCCAGCGGGGGGGGCGCTAATTGGACACACGCCCACACACACACACACCCTTTAGTCGATATCCTCCTAGATGTTCACAAGGCCCCCAAGAGAGCCCCATGAGGGTCCCAAGATGGCCCCAAGAGGCGCCCAAGCGGCCCCAAGAGGCTCCCAAGATGCCCCCAGGAGGCCCCCAAGCGGCCCCCAGGAGGCCCCAAGAGGCTACACATCCCTGATCAGCACAACTCGCCTGGGCATTGTGGTTGGATGGGCTGGTGGGGTGACGCGAAGCGATCTCAATATACATATAAAAACACATGTATATGCAATGAGAGATAAGGAAAGAGAGAGAGAGAGAGAGAGTGAGAGAGAGAGGGAGAACGAGAGAAAGAGAGAGAGAGAGAGAAAGAGAGAGAGAGAGAGAGGGCGAGGTGAACGGCGGAAGGAGGGAGAGGGAGAAACAGTGGTGACACATGCGCAATCACAATAAGCTGCTTCCTAAATCCTTACAACGCTTTGCAAACCGCCCCTCCCCGTCGCCGCCCTCCACTCGACCCTCCTCCCCCCCGCCCCCTCCTGCCTCCGCTTCCTTCCCCTCCCCCCCCTCTCGCGCAAGCCCAGCGATCACATCCCGCTGGGGATGGCTGGTGCCGCCTGCCTCATCGTGGAGACAGCAACACTCTGGAGGACTCCTGGAGGAGGAGGAGGAGGAGGAAGAGGAGGAGGAGGAGGAGGAGGAGGAGGAGAAGGAGGAGGGGGAGGAGGGATGAGGAAGAGGAGGAGGAAGAGGAGGAGGAGGAGGAGGAGCAGGAGGAGGATCGTGCCGCGACCGAGCCCGCAGGACTCCTGGAGGGCTGGGGGGGGGGGCCTGCGCGCCCGGGCTCCCTGATAAGGCCCTCCCGCCGGGGCGGATGGGGCGTCAGTCCCCCCGTGTTGCCAGGCTCCCTGCCTTCCAGGCTCGCGAGGAGGAAGGGGAGGAGGAGGAGAAGGAGGAGGAGGAGGACGAGTAGGAGGAGGACGAGTAGGAGGAGGAGGAGGAGGAGGAGGAGGAGGAGGAGGAGGAGGAGGAGGAGGAGGAGGAGGGGGAGGAGGAGGAGGAGGAGGGGGGGAGGATGAGGAGGAGGAGGAGGAGGAGGACGAGGAGGAGGAGCTGGTCTTCACGCTCCCGGGGCGCCCCCGGTGGGCGGGGCGCGGGCGCGGACCCCCGAGGCGCGCCGCACCACGGCCCCTCTTTGGGGACGGCGAGGCGGCGAGTGGCACCCGCCGCGGCGCGGCGCGGGCGCGGGGTGCGCAGGCCCGCCCGACCTGGGGCCGCTGGCCTCCCGGCCAGTGTCGGCAGCGGCCAACAGGGGGGTGTCCAAGAGGGGGGGGTGCAAATCATGCCCGGCGGCATGTGCGCGGCCCAGCGGGGGGGCCAGGGACGTGATGAAGCCAGAAGAGGCGCCACGGAATCTGGGGAAATATCGTGGCCCACGCCATGATATCCACCCCCCCCTAGTCATCACCCCCCTCTTTTCCGCCCCCGACAGTGCGGCCGCACGGCGCCTGCCGGTGCGGCCGCGCCCTGGGCTGCCCTGGTGAGCTACTCTGAAGGGGCCGAAGGACACACACACACAAAGAAAGACACACAAAGAACTGGATCCCCCGTATTTCCCCGTGTTTGTCTTCCCCCTCACTCCCCATATGTTTCAACGTTGTCCTGGGAGTCGGCGATGAATTTTGTCTGTGTTTTTTCCCCTTCCTGATGCTCGGCTGGCTGCTGGGGTCTGCTGGTAGCGCTCGTGTAGGTCGAGGTCCGCAGGGGCTGTTCGTGCCTTTTTGAAAGAGCGGCCTAGGCCCGTCGCCTCAGGCCGCGCCGAGTTCAGGCCATAATGTGTTCATGGAGCTTTGGTGCGCTCTTCCAGCATAGTCCCCGTCCCTCTCCACCGAACTCGTCCTTCCCCCTACCTCACTCGGCACTCCTCCTTCCCCCCCTGCTCCCTCCCTCCATCCCTCCCTCATCCTCCCTTCTTCTTCCCCGCCCTACCTATTTCCATCCCCCTCCGCCCTCCGTCCCTGCAGCCTGCCGCCCTCCCCCTCCCTATCCGCCCTCCACCTTCCCCTTTCCGCCCTCCCCCCCGTCCGCTCTCCGCCCTCCCCCGCCTCTGCTCTTCCGCCCACCGCCCCCTCTGCTGCAGTGCGGGCCTCCGAGGTTGGGCCCTCCAGCAGCCGCAACAGCCCAAGGGCCACGGACAGGTCCGAGCTGCCGCCGCCAGAAGCGCCGGAGCCCTGGGGCGATGCAGGCAGCAAGGAGCCCGCCCGCCCCCCCCCCTTCACACACACAGAGACCAACTAGGGAGGGAGGCAGGGAGGGTGAGGTGGAGAGGGGGCGAGCAACCAAAGGCCCCCTTCCTCCCTGCCTCCCGACCCCTTCGACACAAGCCCTCCTTTCCCCCGGCGTGGAGATCCAGTTCCTGCGTGAACGCTGCTCAGAACGAACCGCTCCTGTCACACTTTTGGTTGGAATGGAGAGAGGGCGGCCATTTGTGAGGAATTGACGGGGCATCTGTGGGCAGCATACCCGAACATGATGAAATCATCTCGAGAGGTCGACTGCGCAGGGAACCGAATCGGTGAATCACATCAGCCCTCTGGGCGCAGATGATTATTCCAACCCTCTTCTGCCCCTTCGAGGTTTCATCGCAGCTCCTTATAAGTAAACGCCCCCACCCCCACGCACCGCCGACCCGAAACCATGCGTCCCCTGCAATATGGCCAGAAAACCATACAAAATTAGCCAACATGGACCCCAAACAGAAAGATCTCGCACCGTGGATGTGCAAGCCACGTGGTGCTACTTGAATATCTCTCTCTCTCTCTCTCTCTCTCTCCGCTGGCCCCCTCTGGGGGCGCAAGGCTGCGAAGGTGTGTGCGGTCTGCTGTCATGTGCTATGTGCTGTGATTTGTTGTTTCGCCTTTTGTCTCTTAAGTCCTGTTTCCTGCCTCCTGTTTACTGTCTGCTAGGGGGCCCCGCCGCGCCACCAAACAGCCAACGGGGAGGGTAAATCTCAAATCCTGGCTGCTCAGGGCCACCCCAGGATTCTCATGGTGACGCCACCACGCGGAAAGAACGGCCCAAGAGGCCTGCAAGATTGCCCGAAGAGGATCCGAAGAGAGCCTCAGGAGCCCAAGACGGCGAAAGATGTCCCACGATGGCCCCAAGACGGCCCAAGATGCTGCCAAGACGGCCCAAGAGGCCTCCAAGAGTCCTCCCAAGACGGTCCCACGAAGCAGAAATCAACGATTTTCCTAACGTGTTTGAGGGTTGTGGGCCTCCTCGCCGTTTCGGCTTTCCGACGCTCTGAGACGGACCAAGAGGTTCCCAAGATCGCCACACGACGGCCCTAGAAGCTCCCATGACGGCCCTAGAGGCCCCTAAGACGGCCCAAAGACGGCCGAAGAGGGCCCCAAGACGGTCCAAGAGGCACCCCAGACGGCCCAAAAGAGCCCTAAGACGGTCCCGAGAGAGGCCCAAGAGGGAGTCCACGAACCGAAAACTCAACCTTTCCGCCCCGAGAAGACCCCAGGCGGCCCCTAGAAGGTCCCAAGAGACTCCAAGAGGCCCCCAAGAGGCCCCCTAGAGGCCCCAAGGAGACCCCCAAGAGACCCAAAACATGCCCCTAAGATGATCCACAACGGCTTCCAAGAAGCTCCAACAATGACCCGCAGACGCTACCAAGAAGCCTGCCACGAGAAGCACCCACGGCGCTATCCACGCAGCCAGCCGCACGCACTTGTACTGGGGGGCGGGCCGGCGGTAGAGGGCGAAATCCTTAAGATATACGTACATATACAGTCGTATACATATGGTAGCATAAATGTGGTGCAAGCTATGATTTGAAGCTACGTGGTACAAGCTATGTGGTGCAAGCTCAGTGGTGTACGCTATGTCGTGCAGGTGTAAGTTATGCGGTTCAAGCCATGTGCCATCTACGTACGTGGGAGTGCAAGCTATGTGATGTAAACAGTGTGGAAACTACCCCAGATTTCGTAATAAAGGGAGGGGGGTCTCATTTCGGGGGGGGTCTCTTCCAGGCTATCTTGGAGGGCCTGGGGGGTCTGGGGACGATGTTTTGGAGGGTTCTCCCACGGGGGCGGTCTGAAATGGCTTGTCTTGGAGGGTCCAGACCCCCTCCCTTTTACTACGAAATCTGGAGTATGTGGTGGCAGCGGCCGCCCAGCGCATACGAGGCGCCTACGGACGGGTACCAGGCGAAACCTCGGCTGACCCATCTGGCTCCTGAGGGAATCCCGGCAAGAACCCCTGAGTGCAAAACTGTTTGAAACCATGATCGACCCACGAAGCCAGAAAGAAATATATAGAACTGGAGAGGATGGCCACGGTTACCAAGGACACCTGGTTCGGCGACGGGCAACTGCAGTGCTGTGCTGAGTGTATCGATCTTGCTGCACCGTGCCGAGGTCTGTGCTGTGCTGCGCCGTGCGGACTTGCGATGTACCCTGCCGCGATCGTGCACTGTGCATCGAGTCCTCCTGTGCATCCGAGTCCTGACCGCACTGACCAACATCTGAAGCTCGAGCTGCCTGAGCACCAAAGAGCTGCCCCGGGGCTAATGGACAGGGGGAATTGCCAGGAGGACGCGCCGCGGAACGTCCCAAGGGACGCGCCCGGCGACGTGCCAGGGGGCGTGCCATGGGGACGCACCGCGGGACGTGCCTTCAAGTGCCACGGGACGTGCCAGGGGACGCGCCGCACGACGTGCCAGGGGGACTCGCCACGGGACGCGCCACGGAACGTGCCAGGGAATGTGCAAGGTTGCAATGCTGAGTGTATCGATCTTGGTGTACCGTGCCGAGGGCTGTGCTGCGTTGCGCCGTGCTGAATTGCGACGTGCCATTCCGCGATCGTGCTCTATATCATATAGCGTTGTGGATCGAGTCCTCCTCTGCATCCGAGTCCTGACCGAACTGATCTGGATCTTCGGCTCGAGCTGCCTGAGCACAGAGAAGCTGCCCCAGAGCTAATTGACAAAGGACATGCCAGGAGGACGCGCCGCGGAACGTCCCAAGGGACGCGCCCGGCGACGTGCCAGGGGACGTGCCACGGGGACGCACCGCGGGACGTGCCGAGGGGACGCGCTATGGAACGCGCCAATGGACGTGCCGGGGGACGTGCCAGGGGACGCGCCGCACGACGTGCCAGGGGGACTCGCCACGGGACGCGCCACGGAACGTGCCAGGGAACGTGCCGGGTTGCAATGCTGAGTGTATCGAACTTGATGTACTGTGCCGGGGGCTGTGCTGTGCTGCGCCGTGCTGAAATGCGATGTGCCATGCCGCGATCGTGCTCTATAGCTCTATAGCGTTGTGAGTCGAATCCTCCCGTGCATCCGAGTCCTGACCGAACCGATCTTGATCTTAAGCTCGAGCTGCCTGAGCACATAGTAGCTGCCCCAGAGCTAATTCACAGGGGGGCATGTCAGGAGGACGCGCCGCGGAACGTCCCAAGGGACGCGCCAGGGCGACGTGCCAGGGGACGTGCCATGGGGACGTGCTAATTACGGAATGTGCTGGGGACAAGCGGTTCGCTCGAGACATCCTTCACAACTCCTCATGTTAGACATCCGCCTGGGCGACCTGGGCACGTGAAAACGAGTGTTTCGCTCAACACATCCTCAACACATCATCATGCTAGACATCCGCCTGGGCGACCTGCAAGCAAGCGTTTCTCTCGAAACATCTTCAGCAAATCCTCATGCTGGGCATCTGCCTGGACGACCTGGACGCGTGAAAACGAGCATCTTGCTCGAGACATCCTGAACACATCCTGATGCTAGACATCTGCGTGGACAACCTGAAGGCGTGAAACCAATCGTATCGCTCGAGACATGCTCAAGACCTGGGCACGTGAACAAAAATAATTTCATCTGAGACATCCTCTGAATTCTGGTCCCCAATGCGAGGACAATCTACAACAGAAAACAAGCGTTTCGCTCGAAACATCCTCAACCAATTCTGAACAACAAGCGTTTCGCTCGGGACATCCTCAACATTCAATTCCGCGAACCCTCTTTGACTTCGTTAACTATCGCAGAATAACTCCGCCGACCCTCGTCAAGTCGAGGCCGGGGGTAAACCTACTAAAGGAGAACCCTAGGCTCAGGCCTTTCCAGGAAAAATACGCTTTGCCGCCCGCACTGCGGGAAACACTTGGCCAAACGCGGGCTCCCAGCGATCAAGTTGTATCGGTGTTTGTCAGGGACGGTTGGTGTGTCAGCATATTGCCCCATGTGCGCAGGACGACCACTCCTGTCAAAAGCAAATATGTGATTGTGGGTGCCCATGCCATGCACCATGATGGCCACCCCGCCGCCATGCTGCATTGGTTTTGACACTGATGGTGGTGTGGGGGGTCGATGTGTTCCCTGATGTGTGCTGCTGTTAGCGTCGCGCACGTGGCGCACCTGTCGCGACTGGAGCACGCAGCGCATCTGGCCCACCAAGCGCGCCTGGCACGCTGGGGCCCCTGGGGCGCCTGGCGCACCTGGTGCGCGTGGCGCACTTGGCAAGCGTGGCGCACCTCGCCAGCGTCGCGCACCTGGCGTCTGCACCAGTTCCTGGTAGCTACCCATCCACAACTGACCGCTGCACAGGTGCTGAGACTAGGGTGCTACGGACGTGTGTGGGAGGGCAGGCGTGAGTGAGCAAGGCGGCTTACGGCGTGTGAGTTGCTTCAAACTCCTCCCCGACCACTCCCCGCGCCCCCCGATTGAGAACTCCCCTCGCCCAGCGAAGCCTCCTGGGGGCCTCGTGGGAGCCGCTTGGGGGCCTCTGAAGGGCCTCTTGCAGGACTCTTGGGAGCCTCTTGGAGGCCTCTTGCCGGCCTCCTGAATTCCCTGGGGCCCCTGAGGGCCTCATAGGGCCGTTTTGGAGCCAGAAGTGTGGGACTCTGTGGGCCTTTTGGAGATGTGGAGCGGCTGGGGCCGTCTTCGGCCGCTCGTAGGCCAGTCTTGGGGCTCTCCCGGAGCTCTCGTGAGGGAACCGTGAGGCCTCAAGCCCCTCTCAGGGCGGCATGGGGCAATCTTGCGAGCCGACCTGGAGGCTGTCCTAGCGTATCTTGTCAAGTCTTGTCTCGTTTTTTTTGTCCAGCGATGCAGGCACACACACACACGGGCGCCGAGGGGAGGGAAGGAATGGGGACGGGGGGGGGAGGGAGAACCCAAGTCCCCCGAGGGGCGCCCTGGTCTGTGGAAGCCCGAGGGGGCCGAGGGAAGGAGGAAGGAAAGAGTCTCGTCTCGTCTTGTCTTGTCTCGTCTCGTCTCGTCTTGTCTTGTCTCGTCTCGTCTCGCCTGGTCGGCTTTGACCGCGTCGGTGGTGCCCGGGGCCGTCGTGGAAGCGTGGGCTCACCGACCTCACAGCCGCAGGCCAATGGGAGGGGTCCACCTGCCTTGAGAAGTCCCTCCCCTGGGTCCGGACCTAAGTGGGCTCTGGAAACGGCAAGGCCGTTTTTTTACCGGTTCCGTTTTGCCGTTTTTGTTGCCGGTTCCGACGCCGTTGTTTTACCCGTTCCGTCGCCGTTTTTTGACCGGTTCCGGTCCAATCCTGGAGCCGTTTTTTTTCCGTTTCCAGTCGCTTTTTTTTGCCGTTTCCATTTTCAAGGGACACTTTTTCGGAAACGGTGAAAAAGCGGCCGAAGGTCTGGACGGCGCATCCCGCGACCCATTAGAGCGTCCATATAGCACTTAGATGGCCTCAAATACTCCAAGATGGCTTCCAAGGTGGTCGTCTAGCAAACTGTAGCTCACGGCCTCTTCTGGCATGATGCCAAGAGGCTCCAGGAGCACCCCAAGACGGCTCCAGCCACTGAGCCTCGCAAGAATACCCACGAGAGGCCATAAGTTGTGTCAATAACTATTGTTTGCTGTTTCTCCTCCGATGGGCTCTTGAGGCCTCAGGATTGCTTCAAGATCTCCCAAGGGAGCCCCAAGAGTGCCCTTTGATCGCCCAAGAGCGTCCTTGGGGGGCCTCCGAGAGACGATCTGTCGGGCTCCGACGGGGCCGCGCTGATACAAAAACTGCATTCGACCCACAAACCTGGAAAGGAATATAGAACTGAAATGCGTGGCAGCGTTTTCAAAGACACCTGATTGGGCGACGGGCAAATGCAATGCTGAGTGTATCGATCTTGATGTACTGTGCCGAGGGCAGTGCTGTGCTGTGCCGAGCTGAATTGCGATGTGCCATGCCGCGATTGTGCTCTATAGCGCTGTGGATCGAGTCCTCCTGTGCATCCGAGTCCTGACCGAACTGACCTGGATTTTAAGCTCGAGCTGCCTGAGCACATACTAGCTGCCCCAAAGCTATTGCCAGGGGGACATGCCAGACGCGCCGCGGAACGTCCCAAGGGACGCGCAAGGGGACGTGCCAAGGAATGTGCCATGGGGACGCGCAGCGGGACGTACCAAGGGGACGCGCTACGGAACGTGCCAATGGACGTGCCAGGGGACGCGCCGCGCGACGTGCCAGGGGGACCCGCCACGGGACGCGCCACGGAGCGTGCCAAGGAATGTGCAAGGTTGCAATGCTGAATGTATCTGTCTTGGTGTACCGTGCCGAGGGCTGTGGTGTGCTGCGCCGTGCTGAACTGCGATGTGCCATTCCTCAACGAATCCTCATGTTAGACACCTGCCTGGGCAGCCTGGACGCGTGAAACCATTTGTCTCGCATGAGACATCCTCAATACCTGGGCAGGTGAAAACAAGCATTTCACCTGAGACATCCTCCGAATTCAGGTCTCCAGGAGAGGAAGAATCTATAACACAAACCAAGCGTTTCGCTCGAGACATCCTCAACCAATTTTGAAACAAGCGTTTCGCTGGGGACATCCTCAAAAATAATTCCGCTGACCCTCTTCGATCTCGGTAAGAATCGCCAAATAATTCCACCGGCCATCTTCAAGTCGATTCCGGGGGTAAGCAGCCAAAAGAGAAGCCTGAGACCACGCCCTTCCCTGGAAAAACACATGTGTCTATCGATTGCGCCCTGGGCCAGCCTAGAGAAGGCTCCCGAAGGGTCCCCTTACCCCAAAATGACCCCTAAGAGGGTACCAAGATAGCTCCAAGCGGCTCCCAGAGCGAAAAACCCGCGAAGGCCTGTGTTATTGATCTCTGGATGCGTGCTGCAACGCTGCCCTGTTCAGTGCAATTGGCCTGGGTATCGTTTCGTCTTTGCTGGTAGGGGCACGCGAAGCGTGAAGAATCACCGCACCGCATTCGTCCACAATCAGAATCTGGCGCTTCTCCCTGTCAACTGCCCACCCTAGTGAGCAACGGCAAGCTTGAAGGGCGCAAGGATCGGGCATGACGCATACGCGAAACGAGCAAGCAAGCATCCCAAGTGCCAGTCAGGCACCAGGTAAGCACCAAACACGGAGGTGGTATGCAACTTGCAAGCACAAGGCAATCAGCAGACAGGCCCCGAGCAGGCGCTGGAGAAGCACCAGTCAAACAACAAGCATAAAGCAGGCACCGGGCAAGTGCTGCGCCGGCAGCATGCGAGCACCAGGCAAACGTCAGGAATGATGAACAACGGGGACGCGCAGACACGAGGCAAGCACCAGGCAGAGGGTTGGGCTGGGTCGCGTCGCAGCCTGCGGCCGGGCCTCCTCCTCCCACTGGGCGATTTGCTGGTCCAGTGGCAAGGCACCAGCCTGGACGGGCTACAACTGGAGGGGTGGGGGGAAGAACGTCGGGGCGGACGAAAGTGAGGGTGTAGCTGGCCCTGGCGCCTGGAGGCGCTGGCAGCGACAACGCATCGAGGGACGTGCCCCGCAGCGGGCGGGGACGAAACCAACTGCGCGCAGCAGATTCCGCTCCCCCCCCCCCCCCCGACCGCTTTCCCCACCCCATCCCTTTCGTCCACCACGATGGGGGAGGGGCCAGCGGGGAGAAGAGCGGGGGCTGCGGCAAGAGGGATCGGTCAGAGGTGGACTGGAGCCCGAGAGGGAGGGGGGAAAGGGTGGGGCACCAGGAAACGCCGAAAAGGTGGTGGGGAAAAGGAGGAGGGGGGGGGGGGGAGGGCGAAGGACAGAATGGAAGAGGAGAAAGAGATAAACGGCAAGGAGGATGATGAGGAGGAGGAGAGCACCTGTCGGAGGAGGGCAAAAGGGAGGGGGGAGATGGAAGAGGGAAGATGGACAAGCTAGGTTCGCGCGCGAGATATCTGACATCCGACCCCTCCCACCCATCAATTCCCACTGCGCTGAGCGTTTCTCAATCCACCGAGAGGTGCGGACCGAAGTGTCATAAGTGTCCGAAGTGTCTTTTCGCGACAGAAGCCTGGGTCACGACGAAATGGTTAATTTTGATCCCTGGCGTTTCCAGCGAAACTGGCACTCAACGCTGCGGGACTGGCATCATATTATACATTGTACGGTACATGTGTATATTACGCGTCGGTTGCAATTAATATCCGAGCGACATCAGCTCACTAATTGTTGGCAACCAAGACATGACACGCATCCGTAGTTGTTTTGGCCTAGAGCACTGAGCAAGCAAGGCCAACTAAGGGCTAGCAGACTCCCTGAAGGCTCATTGCCCTGTATCGCAAAATGAATATCATCTGCTCTTCTTTCAATTTCCGGGTTACCAATTCTTGAGAGCTGGGCGATTTTTGCGACCTGCCAGTGAACGCCCCGAAGGGGGAGCCCTTGGTCCTTGGTGCCCCTGGATCAGAAGGACTCCTTCTGATCCAGGGGCGCCTCCTGGATCAGAAAGCGTCCTGCGCTTGGTGCTCCTCCTGAAGGCGCACCAGGCGCAAGACGCCCGAGACGGCACCTCGTCTCGGTCGATTCGTCGAGGTCCGCGGCCGCTAGAACAGCAAGATTGGCGCTGGGAGGCGGCAGCCCGACAGGAAACGGCAAAAACAACGGCTCCAGGATTGGAACCGGAGCCGGACCGGTCAAAAAACGGCGACGGAACCGGTGAAAAAAAGGCATCGGAACCGGTAACAAAAACGGCAAAACGGAACCGGTAAAAAAACGGCCCTGTCGTTTCCAGGGCCCATCAAGGTCAGGACCACCGTCGACTGAGATCAGAAAGCTTTTTGTAAGAGCAGTTGGAAAACACATCAAGAAAATGGCTGGGACACTTGGGGCAAAGGTCCAGTCGCCTCAGAACACGAACAAATCGATAAGCGCGGCGAAGGCAGTGTTAGAATCCATCGACACCCAGCAGGAACTTACAGAGCACATGCGAGTGAGGAAGGTGCCAATTCACTTTGAGACGCCCTTGCTGGACTCCACAAAAGGTTGATTTTCAAACTTTTGAAGTTACCATTGAGGCCGGCACCAGCGCGCGTGAGGCGAAGGAGAACATCCATGTGTACGCAGCCGCTGCTCAGAAAGAGTTGGACCTCAAGAAGATGGAAGAACAGCGTGTACAGCTCCGTTCTTTCACTCAACGCCGTGCCTTCGTTGTTGGGTGCACTAACGCATATGACAATCAAGCCAAGGTGTGGGCGAAGATGGACCTCGAGAACGATGATGATGACGAGCAGATGGCAACACTATCCAAGCAAGAGCTGGAGGTCATGTAAACTCATTATACAAACGCATCGCGTACAAAGCGGAAGCGAGATGCGAGAAGGAAATCAATAATGATTCGGCCAACGCGTTCAATCGCCGGAGGCTGATCAAGGAGTTGAGAGATAAGACGCCCCAAGAGTATTCCACAATGGCGATCGAACAGAAAATGGCAGACGTCAAACAGCCAAAATCGAAAAAAGCCATCGCGGAATTGAAAGACATTGCCCCGAAAGCTGGAGTGTCCATCGACGCATTCAAGATGTGCAGTCCGTGGAGGGTGGCACCATGGAGGACGGTGTTGTGGATAAAACCTTTGGGTCAAAAAACGAGGAAGCCCCACCCGGAGGGGTGAGGAAAGGAAAACCAAGAGGCAAAGGCAAAGGCAAGGACGACAAAAGCAAGGCCAAAAGCAAAAACAATGACAAAGAGATGACCCGTCCGCAACCGTGAAAAGGCGCCAATGGCAGGGGCGAAAAGGCAAAGACAGAGGCAAGGACAAAGGCTTCAAGGGCAAGGTGAAAGGAGGCAACGGCGACGGCAAATGATCAAACAGTGCAAGGCCAAAGGAAAAGTCGAAGGGATCCAAGGGTAAAATTCATTCTGTCAGGGCATAAGCATGACAGAATGCCGGCTGGATGTTATGTGTGGGACGCCGTTTCTCGTTCTGCCATCTGGCCAAACGCTGGCGCAAAATTGCATGTCCTTCGGTCCAATGCAGCGCCACACATGAAACATGTATCCATTAGCCTTCGATCTTGGCACAACGAACAGACATGGAAACATCACTTCAAGCATATGGACGACGAAGATCGGAGTCCTTGGCGCCGCCTCCGGTGGAAGCCTGACGTAACGCCAGACTGTGCGTGTCCAGTTCCAGAGCACATCGAAAAATACCTTCGATTCGTGGTCAACGGTATGTGGCAATGCTGCAGGCGGTCGCGCGGGCGACAGTATGCTTGCAGAGGCAGCGCCAACAACTCTACTCTTTTGCACCAGTTGGCGATGAAAGTCCTCACATATGGATCCATCGGCGCGTTGCCCACAGACAAACGACGGGGGATACTGCCCAGTCCCGAAGAGCAATTTGAAAGAAGAGCAGCTAAAGGTATTGGGCTGCCAAATTGATCAGATAGTTCGCTCTCCTGACTGTGCAAACCAATCTGTTGATGAGCTCAAGTGGAGCGTACTTGAGACTGGTATTCAGGACATGTCTTTCGCGCGTGCTATTTTGAGTTGGGCCCGGAAAGGGACTGACAACGTGCGTGCTTCGCCCCAAACTATCATCAAGACTCACAACAATGAAAACATTGGAATGAGACCTATCTATGCTGCGCTGGGGCCATTGGATGGCAGTACAGCTTCAGAGAGCATTAACATATCAGTCTCACATCGTTCGAGATTCAATGGATTTGGTAAAGAAGTTGGCAACACTACGAATCAAGAGAGGCGGTGTCCTCATAAAGTGTGGCATCAAAGATTTTTCATGAGCGGCAAACATCAGGACCTCATCACAGAAAGTGCGACATTCATCCTCAATGGAACGGAGAGTGAGGCCTTCAAGACAGGTTTGGCTGGCATCTTGCGCAACCAATTGATCTCATCCCCAGGGCTACAGGATGCCTGGCGTGTAATTGATGAGACTGGCGTGGGGATGAAGTGCAGCGGTGAAATCAGCGACGCTGCCTTCTTGTCAATGGTGGGATTACCGTACGTTTGCAACCCAGACGTTCAATGGGATCAGGGGTGCAAATTCTATGGGGGATTCAAAGATGATGGCCTCTTAGTGTTTCACGAGGAAAAGTCCGCGCGAACGCAGGGTCTGTTCATTCCCCGCATGAAGCAGGTGAGCCAACTCTTCAAAATCCAGATAGCGAGCAGGACGACGAATCAAGTCGAGCTTTTCGATTTGAGGCTTAAGACGCTTCTGAGTGGGCTCGGACGGGCAGGATCAGTTTCTACAACTTCTCCAAAACCACTTCGATGTATTACCCCCTGCGCATTGCTTCGAATCACCCCACGCACGTCCACGATGGGTGGACAGAAATGATGTTCCATCGTGCCAAGCAGCTCTCCTGCACAAAAGCTGCCGGGAGGGCGAGAGCGGCCACGGAGCATCGACTCTTCGGAAAAAAACAGATCCCGACTTCCGAGCCAATGCGCTCGCAAATTCCGGATTTTCTGTTTTACGGCGGATGGGAAATTGCATGGGCTGGCAAAGTACTTCGCCAAGCTGCGCGCTTCCAGGGCGCCACAGAGCTTGGCGCCCCACGTGTTTCCTAAAGGTTAACTGGGAGACATTTGCAGCACGTGTTGGCAGGATCTAACAGAAGTGAGGGACCTCTGGAGCCCTCAACCTTTAGTGCATGGTAGGTTGGTTGTGTTTGGCGGTTGGCTGAATGTCCCAACTGTCCTTTGGCGACAGAAGCCAGCGTTACGACGAAATGGGTAATGTTGATCCCTGGCGTTTCCAGCGAACCTGAAACGCAACGCTGGGGGACCAACATCAGATGATACAATGCACGGCACATTTGTATCGTACGCGAGGGTTGCAATTCACACCCGAGCGACATCAGCTCACACACTGTTGGTAACCAGGACATGCATGACATGGGTAATTTTGATCCCTGGCGTTTCCAGCGAAGCTGGAACGCAACGCTGGGGGACTGGCATCATATGATACATTGCACGGCACGTGTGTATCTTACGCGTCGGTTGCAAGTCATATCCGAACGACATCAGCTCACGAACTGTTGGCAACCAAGACATGACACGCATCTGTAGTTGTTTTGGCCCAACCCAGAGCGCTGAGCAAGCAAGGCCAGAGCGGGGCCAGCAGACTCCCTGAGGGCCCATTGCACTGTATCGCAAGTTGAAGAAAACACATCTTCTCTCCTTTCAATTTCAGGGAGCGGTCAGAGGGGGACAGGCGCCCGAGAGAGAGAGGGACAATTGTGGGGAACCAGGAAACGCCAAAAAGGTGATGCGGAAAAGGAGGAGGGGGGGAGGGGGAAGGACATAATGGAAGAGCAGAAAGAGAGAAACGGCAAGGACGAGGAGGAGGAGGACGAGGAGGAGAGCACGAGTCGGAGGAGGGCAAAGGGAAGGGGGAAGATGGAAGAGGGGAA